GTGGACAGACAGATACTCTGATACAGAGACAGGTGGACAGACAGATATTCTGATACAGAGACAGGTGGACAGACAGGTACTCTGATACAGAGACAGGTGGACAGACAGATACTCTGATAGAGAGACAGGTGGACAGACAGGTACTCTGATACAGAGACAGGTGGAAAGACAGATACTCTGATACAGAGACAGGTGGGCAGACAGATACTCTGATACAGAGACAGGTGGACAGACTGATACTCTGATACAAAGACCGAGAGAAGTGGACATACATACAGAGACAATTGAACAGATTGAGAAACAGACTGAGACGGGAGGACAGACAGACAAAGAGACAAATACCTCTGATACAGAGACAGGTGGACAGACATATTCTGAGACAGACACAGACAGATACTCTGATATAGACAGACATATCTGATACAGAGATGGGTGGACAGACAGAGAGACAAAGAGACATGCTGTGGTAGAGACAGGTGGACAGGTAGTGATCCAAAAAGACATACTAGAGACAGATGGACAGACACAGACAGTCTGATCTAGAGAGAAACGGACAGAGAGACAGACACTCTGATACAGAGACAGATGGACAGACAGACACTGAGACAGAGACATATGGACAGACAGAGACAGACACACTGAGACAGAGACATATGGACAGACAGAGACAGACACTCTGAGACAGGTGGACATACTGAGAAAAGACCTCTACCTAAGAGTGAGTCTGTTTCTCTGTCAGTCCATCTGTCTCTGAGGCAGAGACAGGTGGACAAAGAAACCGAGAGACAGATATTCTGAGACGGATGTCTCTGTCTCAGAGACACAGACACTCTGAGACAGACTCAGACAGACAGACGGCAGGCAGTCGTTCTGAGCATGCGCGCGGCGGACAGCGGCAGCAGCAGGACGCGGTGATTGTCTCGGTACCGACTGGCGGAGCAGAACCGAACGGAACCACCATGAACTGCAACTGGGGCACCGAGCTGTGGGTACGTAAACCCGGTCTGAGCCCAAATGGGTCAGAACCCTTTAGGTTAGCAGCCGACCATCTGTGCATGCGTCTGTGCGTGTGCGCGCGTGTGAGGGCCTCGTGCTGTATCCGCTCCTCCATAGCAACACGGAGAATGACGTCAGCTGCTCGCGCTGCAGCATGATGGAGGCTGAGAGATTTCTGCTCTGAACCCAAATCATTTGGACTTCCAGTAAGAATCGACGGAACCAGACTTTTATTGTGTAGAGTATTATGGGCTTTATTTTGAAAATCCAGGTTCAAACAAATCTTTTTGCTCTTTCTGTCTTTTATTACTTTGATTCCTGAATCCTCCCGACCTTCTGAACTTAACATGATCTATGAGGAGGAGGAGGAGGATCTAGGAGGAGGCCACGACGGAAAAGAAAGAAAGAATGAATGAATGAATGAATGAAAGAATGAATGAATGCTGGGAAATAGAAGCTGGCACACATCATACTTCAGACAGAACCACAGAGCTAAAGAACTTCTTGACTGAGCAGCAGAATGTTCTGATGGCCCCACAGGTTCTGTTTGATGGTTCCGCAGGGTTTTTAGAAGGAGATACATTTCCTGTTTGGATCTGAGCTCAGACAGTGTGGAAGTCAATGAGAGATTGAGCGTGTGACCTCTGACCTCTGAGAGGAAACCATCAGTCCTCCAGCAGAAAGAGACACACTGGGTGGAAGAAGACAGAGACACCTGAGAAGACTGTGAAGACCATCCAGAGAAGATCATGGACACATTGTGGAAATAAGAAGATCTTGTTTAAAGAAAAGTTGGAAGATGTGTATTTTGTGTCAAAACGTGCAAACCTAGTCCTCCGAAACAGTTAAAGATATCCAAATGCCAACGTTAAACTTTCTAGGACCCTTTAAACTTTAGGTGATGTTTTGACTGTGGAGTTTGTCGGAGCTGTAGAGCTCTGAAAAAGACTAGTGTTTTCACCTGTCTCACCCTGACAGCATTGTTTTCTCTGAGGAAACTTCTGTCTTACGAGGTCCTCCTACCAAAAGTCAGAGCTCACTGTCCTGATCATGACGACCCGGACGCCTGGTTGGGTGTTCTATCATTTTTAAAGCTGCAGGAGTAGAGAAACCAAAATGGAGCCACAGAGAGGAGCGGCGGGTGAATTATGAGTGCTTCTGGACTCGTTCCAGTAATAATCTGTTGTTGGAATGATCTCCTGAAGCCTCATGTACGACCTTTTCCACACAAAACTTCGAATGTGTCAGTAACGATCCGACCGTGGAAACGTGCGCAGCTCCACATGACTGCCTATGTGTGCACGTTTCTACAGGTTTTGCTTCATTGGTGACACTCGGAGGCCACGCTGGGAAACAGATGATGATTTGAAAACAGTTATTGGACTCACCTGAGTCTATGTTGAACTGAAAGAGTTTGCAGAGTGGGAGGATGCGTTTGATCGCCATGGTAACCGTTTCATTAACTGTGAGGAAGAAGCTCAGCCCGTTCACTAAATCCTGTTGTTCATTAAAAATTCAAACTCTTACAACATTCAGACTCTCATCAGTTGTGCCCGGGGCTGGAATATTTAAAATCCCGTCAGATTATCAAATAATCTATAAAATATTCCACCATCGTTTGGCGTCAGTCAGTGTCTCTCATTTAGGTGTTGATGACAGGATTATTTTATTAGATTTAACCAGACCCAGGTTTTATTCAGGGATGATTCAAGTTTCTTTATTGTCATTCCCATCACATGTGGTACTTGAGGTGGAACAAAATTATATACTCAAGGTCCAAATTACAAACAAAAATGGCAAAAATATAAAGTATAAAAAGAAACGGTGTATAAGAATCAAATAGAATCGAAGAATATAATAGAATAGTCGATTCTATTAAAGAAATAGACCAAGGATTCAAATTTCATGTAAAAATCTGGTTCACCAAAAGTTAAATATTTACTCACATGATTTTTTTTTTTTAGCACAATAAATTATAGAAGAACACATGTGAAAACCTGAATTCACTCGTAAACCAAAAGTTTCTGCTGTGAAGAGTTTCAGAACAAAGAAACTGGACTTGTGCTCTGTAGCTGAAGACTTTCTCTTCTTATCTGGGAGTTTTTTTCACTTCAGAACTGGAGGGAGCGGCGTTCCGAGCTTTAAACTGAATTTTTAAGCTCTCGGAGTGTGAAACAAAGCATCCTCCACTCCAGAACCAGAGTACTGATGCGTTGAGTGAGCCGTCCTGGATGATTAAAACATTCACTGAGAAGCTGCAGGTGGAGTTTCCAAAAGGAAGGACTGTGCAACACAACTGTAAGAGACGCAAATCAAGTAGAATATTTTGGATGGACTTGCTGAGAAGTTCATTAAACAGTAATTCATCAGTACATCGGAGAATGTTTCATAAAGAACGTATTTGGTTTGATCACTGAAGGGGTTGACACATTACGGGACAGAGCCAAAGCTGACGAGACCTAATCATGCAGGTAAAAGTTTAAGACCAGTCTGCCACAGTTGTCTTTATACAGTAATGTCTGTAAAACACATTCATAAAGTTTGAGATGCGCCATCAGTAGAAGTGCCCCCTCCCCACACCTACTTTGATTTATTATCACGGTTCCTGTCATTGCCCACATGAGCATGGAAGTCTCCCATTAGGACAGTGTGTAACGTCTGAGGCTGTACCCAGATACAAGCACTGAAGAGAACTGATACCAAGACTCCAAATAGGTTTACAGTGTTTATTTACAAAGTGATAATTCATCAAATGAGCCAGGGAGGGAGCTGGAACCCTGAAGAGCAAGGAGATGGTTAATGGTCTGTCAGCAGAGGTGATGATGTTTCTGCTGCTCTTTCTTATGGTAGGGATAAGAGTCAGTTACTGGGAGAGATGACCCAATGGTTCCAGGCAGGAGACAGGCGAGTGGTAGGAAGGTGTGGAGGCAGCTGAGGAGGCACAGGAGTGCTCGAGGTCCGCAGAGGAGAATCCAGGGGACAGGAGGGATTATACTGAAAACAGAAGAAATATAAACTCGGTTAATCTTTAGTTTAACTCACAAGTAAAAGGCTAGAACACAACTACCATTGGCAGGTAATGCTCCAGCACTGACTGGATGACCTCTGCAGCCTTTTATGCTCCTCTTGCTCATCAAGCTGACGATCCTCAGGTGCTGCTGATTGGTGCTCATATGTAGCTGCAGGGAGCTGATGGAGCAGAACAACCACACAGTCAGGTCAGGGAGGAGTCTCTGACTCAGGTGGAGGGGTTCAGATATCTGGATATCCTGAGTAATGGTAGGATGGAGCAGGAGAAAGATTGACAGATTGGGGCCTTGTCCTCAGTAATGTGGGCGTTGCTTTGGTCGGTCATGGTGAAGAAAGAGTTGAGCCTAAAAGCAAATCTCTCATACTGGCCTGTCTACCTTCCAACCCTAACCTATGAGGTTTAGATCATGACAGAAAGAACCAGATCCTGGATCCAAGCACCTGAAACAAGCTTCTTTAATAGGATGGCCGTGAGGAGCTCCGTCATCTGGGGGGAGCTCAGAGTAGAGCTGCTGCTCCTTCACATCAGAAGGAGTCAGCTGAAGTGGTTCATGTGAGGATGCCTCCTGGACGCCTCCCTTTGGACGTTTCTCTTGCTTGTCCCACTAAAAAGAGGCCCTGGGGCAGACCTAGAACTCACTGGAGGGACTGGAGGGATTGTGTATCTTCTCTGGCCTGGGAACACCTTAGGTTACCTCTTGAGGTGCTGGAGGCTGTTTTTCTTGATTTTAGTGTATGTGCCATGTTTAATAGAAAATCCATGCAAGGTTTCGTACATGAGATCTCTGCTGAGGACCAGCAGGACCTTGTGAGTCCAAACCCAGAGCAGAATACGTTGATATTATCAGAAACAGCATTATTACACGGACTGATGCCAGACCCCAAACACACCTGATCTGAGGTCACAATAGGTCTTTTTCTGCTAAATGTACTGAAAGTTTCAGCAGTTCTACAAAGGATCTGAAAATTAACAGCAATGAAAACAAAAGTGAAAAGCACCGGTTTGGTCCAGTTGGTTGAACAAAGACCATAAAGTCAGGTCAAAATAAAAAGTATATAGACCTTAAAGTTTCAGTTTACATTAAAAACACATTTATCTGCTGTTTCAGGATCAGTTTGAGAACCTGGAGAAACACACCAGCTGGGGAATTGACTTCCTGGAGAGATACACAAAGTTCGCTAAAGAGCGAGCCGACATTGAGCTGAGCTACGCCAAACAGATGAGGTAAGCACAGAACGTTAAGGGCGGAGCCTGAGAACTGAAAGCTCCGCCCCCTGTTCTACTTTTAGAAACTCTAGGAACCACAAGTAAGCCTGCAGTCTGGGGGCAAAGTGCTCTGTTAGGAAAATATAAAACAATGAGATCCTTATTATAAGGTGGAGCTTTGGTGTTGATAATTTTGTATATTAAAAGTAAGATTTTAAATGTTGACATGAAGCCAACAAAGAAATCAGAAGAATCTGAATAAGCTTTATTATCATTGTACCGGGGCGCAACTGGTAGAGCTGCTGCCTCTCAGCAAGCAGGTCCCCAGTTCAAATCCCGGTCCGGGGGCCTTTCTGGGTGGAGTTTGCATGTTCTCTTCGTGCATGTGTGGGTTTTCTCCGGGTACTCCGGTTTCCTCCCACAGACCAAAAACATGCATGTTAGACTGATTGGTAACTCTAAATTGTCTCTAGTTGAGAAAGAGCGTGAATGGTTGTTTGTCTCATTTGTCTCTATGTGTCCCTGTGATGGACTTGCAACCTGTCCAGGGTGTACCCCGCCCCTCGCACAGTGACTGCCGGACATGGGCACCAGCGACCCCCGTGACCCAAAATGGAAGAAGCGGGTAAAAGATAATGGATGGATGGATGGATGGATGGATCATTGTACACGGGATACAGTGAGATTATGTTCGTACAGTCGTCCGAAAGATGGGTGGAGTGCACGTTGCTGCTGCTACAGGAGCACGGGGGTGGGGGAGATTGTTATAGATGAAGCTTTTCTTTAGTTTACACATATCCCAGGAGAAATTTGATAGTCTGCCTGCTTTCGAGGCCAGCCGGGGGAGTCAGATTCAGATAAGCCACAATTGTTGATTTTTTTCAGGCAGACTGTTTTTTTTCTGGACAGCCTTGAGTCCTGCTGGTGCTTTCAAGATCCAAAATGGCCAGATTAGTGGGCATTCCACTGGTCCGTGCTTACTAGCCCCCTCCAAGGTCGTCTCCACATGCTGGCGAATCCCAGAAGCCGCAGGTGGCCTGCGATTCTCACAAATTGCTTCCATCTTATGATTTAGCTCATAAATCAGCTGATTTTGAGTACTCAAAGCACAAATCAAACCTTCACACAGAAACTGCTGCCGCTAGCTTTCTAATAACCGATAACATAGGAATCTGCCGATGCCAAAAGGCAGAAACCCTGTTGTCATAAACCCAAACATTCTCATGGCATTCTCACTGTCTTGGCTACTTCAGTCTAATAATAAACACTTGAATTTCACTGTATTACTCCTGTAGAAAATGTTTATGTACAATATACTCTGCCATCATTGCACAGTGCTACAGTAAATTAATAAATTAGCATAGAATACCCTGCCAGTTCCTCCATACATCTGTCATAATTTGTACTTATAAATTACCTTTTTTTGCTATTATGATTGCTGCTTTTAATGTCTTTAATATTGAACTTATTTGCTGCTTGGACAAACCATTTTCCTTCACGGGATTGATAAAATATCTATCTAAATATTTGCTGCACTGCTGGGGTATGGGAAACATGGCTGTGTTGCATCTGCGGACTTAAACCTCTAATAACCACAGTTTTATATCCTGATATGTCGACGTCAGAGTATTTTTGGTCAAAGGTTATGGATGTTTTCATTATTATAGCTGAGAACATTCTTCCCCTCTGCCCTGAGAACAAGCAGCCCAAAATAAGCCAAAACTGTCTCCCAAGCCCATGAACCACATGTTTGGATAAATGGAGCGTGTTGTGTAAGGAGACTGCAGCTGGCTTCAAGGACACCTCCTGAACTCTGTGAACTCGGCTGAGCTGAGAGGACTATAAAAGCGAGCAGATAACGCGGCTCATGGCACATTTTTTTGTGACTGGTCTTCATGTGTACATTTTATGTGTATTTATGTAATCTGTCCTGAAAATCTGACCTTGCAAGTATAAATACCAGTCTTCTGCTGTTGAGTGTGTTTTTTGGGGGGTAAACGGCGCTAACGAGAGAGATTTTCTCCAACAGTCGAACAGTTCTTCACTCATGAAAACATGTCTGTCTCTACAAGTTTCTGTCTTTACCTTTTTCTGCAGGAGCCTGTCGAAAAAGTACCATCCAAAAAGAAGCAAAGAAGAAGAGAGTAGGTCAGTAAAGAATTGTTTGTCCTTCTTTTCCTCCTCTCAAACCAGCTATCTCTGTTCAAAACATGAACAAAATGGACGTTAAAGTAGTGTGTTATCCTTCAGAAGGAGTTTCTTCAAACACGACATACCTGTGCATTTCTAAGCCAACAGGACCTTTAGATGGAAGCTGGCTCACCCAAAGGGTAAAACACCCAAACTCAGACTCAACGGGGTGGTGCTGTCCAGTTCAGCAAGGACTGTTCAGACCTCTTCATGGGGAAAACTAAACAACCTCTGGACCAAAGCATGGACCAACATGACACCCAGCTTAATAATCCAGAAGGCTGCGATACAATTATTAATCAATATCAGTGCATCTTGTTACATCTGTAATCCCACTTGTAACAAAATCCCAACCACAATCTGTTAGCGGTCAAAGAAAGAAAATATTTTATTTAATATTTTATGCACAGCATAAAATAGATTTTGTAGAGCCCAGTTAAATCTGTTTTATCCAACAAAAAGAGAGTTTGGTTGTTGAAAGCTTTGTTTTTTAGTAAGATTTTAGATTCTGTTCTGAATTTGACAGGAAGCCCATGGAGAGAAAACATTTTAGAGAGTTTTTTGGGGACAAGATGTTTTAAATTTTAGCTAAAATGTTCAGTTGAAAGAGATTAGTCCTGTTACCTTTTGAATGTAAGTGTAAAAGAGGCATATCCTGATCAACAATAACACCAAAGTTCTTTACTTTAGAGCTGGAGGCCAAATGAAAGCCTTTCAGAGGAAGTGAAAGGCTACCATGTTTGTCCCTTGGATGCTCAGGTCCAAAAACCACAACCGTTATCTTGTCTAAGCTTAAGTGCAGAAATATTAACTTCTCAATGTTTTTATGAGTAACATCTGCCTCAACCTGACCCTTGTCGTGGACAAAAGAGATTCCCAAACCAACCAGATGTAGACTTCATCAGATTTATTTACACAGCTTTGGAGAGCAGCCAGCAATCACAGAAGATCATTTATAAGTTCACACTTATCAATGCTTTCACCTGTCTGCAGCTCTGAACTGCTCTGACTTCCTGAACATAAAAAACAATCAGTTTTGTAGAACTTGCAGCTCCTCTCCTGCTGCAGAGCCGTTATCAGGAAGCACCGCTGCAGACAGCAGGAAGAGGTATCTATAAACTCTTGACAGCTCCCAAGGACTCCGAATTTACGTCACTGTAATCATATCAATCACACCTGGAGGATAATAAAGATGATCTCTTGCTGTCCTTTACTGACTGGTCACATCAAAACTGATTTTTTACTTAGAATAAGGATCACTGAACATTTAATATAATTCACAATCACACTACAGAGCATGGTGAGTGCAAATAATACACATTCCCATGACACCCTATCCATAGGATCTCTATGATAAACTCTGGTGTATGGAGATTTGTTATGAACATAAACAAGGTGGAATTGATGAGAATACCGTCTCCCACTGTGCCTTGCTCTTCCTCACAGGCTGCAGCTGTACACCAAAGCTCACTGGCCTCCTCTGAGTGTACACTGGTACAGTCATTGGGTGGCTTTGATTTATAAGTCTCTGCTTGGCCAGGCGCTGTCTCATTTAGGTCCTCCCTTACAAAGAACAAACACTTCTATGACCTCTGCTCCTACAACATTTTCCATTTGCTTGCTCTCTGTGTCCAGACGGAGACGGGGAAGCATGCATTCAGCGTCGCTGCTCCGTCCGCATCACCTCCAGGCTGAACTCAAAACATCAGATCTTATTTCTCTAAAACCATTTGGACATTTCCTAACCATAAGCAACATGAATCTATTAATCAGTGCTAGTGTGTTTAAATGTTTTTGCCCTCAGTTTATTGAATTTTCTGATTGTTTAATGCTCGTTTCAGTCGGTTGGTGATTTTTGTAACACTTGTGATGTGTGCTGAAGACTTCTTGTCCAATTCCACCTTGTAAATGAGTTCTTGACCTCAGTGGGTTTGAATCTGGATAAAGAAAGGGGGAAAAAAGAAATAAAAAAAAACAGATAAATGTGATTTAAACAATTTTAGAGCTGTTCCTGTAATCCCAACATCTTGTTCAAGTTTCTCTGATTGATAGTATCAGATGAAGCATTGAGCGCTAACGGTTTGAACACACTTGTGTCCATACTTGACCTTATTCTTAACAGAGCACTTCACTCTCAGACTGCAGGTTTACTTGTGGTTCCTAGAGTTTTCAAAAGCAGAATGGGAGGAAGATCTTTCAGTTCTCAGGCTCCTCTCTTTTGGAATCAACTTCCAGTTTCTGTCTGTGAGGCTGACACATTGTTCAGTTTAAGACTGGGCTTAAGATTTTCCTTTTTAATAACAACAACAAAAATAAATAAATAAAATAATAATAATAATAATAATAGCAGCATAACAAAGGGATAGATAGGAAACCCAAGCCAATCCTAACTATAGGATTTTTCAAAAAGGAAAGAGTTAAGTCTAATCTTAAAACTCTTCCACAGTGATGGCTGGATATGGGCACCAGTGGCACCCGCAACCCAAAAAGGAAGAAGTGGGTAAAGATGATATATGGATGGATGGATGGATGGATGGATGGATGGATGGATGGATGGATG